TGCTAGTAGGAGGTATGATATCTGAAGTGGTAACATTAACCACAGAATTCATATTTGAAATATAAATCAAACAAAAGTTTTTGATGTATAAAAATTCGATTGAGAAAAATAAAAAAGACTGGGAAATTAAGTTAACTGAAACATTCTTCCTCAATGTAAAGACAAAAAAAATTAATGAAGAAATTGCACTTCTGAAATTAAACTACTGAAAGTCATGAATTCGAATCATACAAAGAGCACCAGAACAAAACAAACGTCTTAACATGCATCAAGAGAGTATGTCACACTCTTTATTGGTGGAGGGTTGTTGCAATGATGATTAGCATGTGAGACACATTGGAATCAGTCAATTCCAAATGGGTGGGAGATTAAAGGCTTGTGACATGTGCAAACATTTTTTTTTGCATATAGGGGGCAGAACTGAATGAGAATAGTTATTTATATGAGAGGAGGTAATGTACTGTATTGGAAATTACTATCCAACACAACTTCAACTATAAAACAACCTGAGTATAACCTTTAATAAATTGCTCTACAAGTTAACAATACAAAAGTAACAAATTTCTCAGTGAAAAGTCAATCCTTAAAAAAAAAAAAGTTCAATAAATGTTTATATTTCTTGTTTAGGAAGTTCACTGCAGCTATGAAGACCAATTACGTATTTTTAATATATTGCTTGAGATTAATTTTATATTGGTCCATCACTTTAGAATTTAAAAAACAACAACACATGCTCAACTGTTTATTTGTCTAAGTTTATTTTAAATTATTTGTTTATTTTAAATGTTATAGTATTGGAAGACTATTCTTTAGATAATGTAAAAATATGTATGCTAAATTCAAATAATTTCTAACTTAATTATAAAGAATATTTGTTTCAAGAGTTGGTAAGATAGAACTGTGTTTAAATTGATTATTAGTGAGTTTTCATTTCTCATAATATAAAACCTTGGATGATATTGCTACTGATATTAGTATGCTGATTGGCTAATACTTACATTAGTTTGCTGGCAAAAGCAATATCCTTAACAAACAAAGGTTGATAAATTACTTCAGTTAGAGCTAAGCACTTGTTTGACTATGACAATAAATCTATTAAGAAAACATGTTTAAAAGCCTTTGCACTTATGGTTAAAGCATGACTGTTGTAGTTTGAGTTGTTAAATAGTGACATAGTAGCTACTAGTGGTTTAACCCTTTAGCTCAGGTGGTAGAGCAGTTGTTTGTATATGAGTGGTCAACAGTTAAAATCCAGCAGAAGGGAGATACAAAAAATTAAATTACCACAAGAAGAAATGTATGTAACAAATGGTCATAACACAACTTTGAGATAAGTCCCATGGAAAAGCCTTGTTTGTGTAAAGGTAAGATTATGTTAATATAAATTGTTAAAAAGTGCTTTACTAGCGAGTACTAGTGGGTTAACCCTTTAGCTCAGTTGGTAAAGCACTTGACTGGTGCACAAGAGATCTCAGGTTCAAATCTGAGCCAAGTTTTATAAGAAAACTTATATTACCACAGTTGTATAAACAATGATGTTTCTTAAATTGCTTTGTTGGTTGAACTGTACGAAGAGCTACCTGCACTATCTGTCACTAATTTTGAATTGATAGACTATATGGACTATACAGCCAACTCATGGATTACTTAAATTGAAAAATGAAATTTGGCTGTTACTCTTATAATGCACCCACAGCTCCAAAGCTTGACAGTAACAAGATGCAAACCATGAAACCTCAGATTTACATTAAAACGTTAAAACTCAATGAACTTGTGTAAATATTTTAAATATATTAAAATACTCAAACAATCAACATTGTATAATAGAGAATTAAAATCTATATTTAAAGACCAATCAACAGTCATAAAAGACACTATGAGGTTTGACATAGATTCAAGTCATCCTCATGTAGTGCTTTTATGACAGCTTATCGGTCTTTAAATAAAGATTTTAATTGTGTATTATACAATATTGATCGTTTGAGTACTTTAAAGTACTCAGATTCATAGTCGAGAAAGATAATCACTGGGCATTTTCATCCCTCCTTAAATTGCTAAAGATACAAAATTCCCAATATTAAAGCTTTCATATGATACAAGCTGAAAACCCATCATATGATGGGAAATAATGATTAATTTTTCTTCTCAAAATTAAATGTTTTATGAACACTTTTTCTAAAAATTAATTATAATCTAGTAACAATATGTGTATAGAGAATGACTATCCTATTTTATCAATAAATAGAAAATAATTTACAAGACAGACATAAACACATCTGTGATAATTCACCATAACTCATTTTCTCCATGTTTTTATTGTATTTTCCAGAATTCTGACATTTTTAAAAGATTACTCAAAGTTTCTTATCCAAGGCTGATGCAGGATAGGTGTCATAATTATTTTGTAATTTGAGTTTACTAATTAACTTTAATTTAGCAGATGTTTCTGAATTTTTCATTAAAAAAAAGCTAAATCTACAATTATTTTAAAGTATAAATTTTAAAATGTTAGATATTTTCTATATTGAAACAAATTTTGGGAAGGCCTTGAAATATATTTGAAGAGAAGAGAGTTTAAAATCAAAGTTATTCATATCAGTGTTCTAAAGGTAAAACAGAATATTTTTAGGTTTAATTTACAGAATAATAATTATATAATGCTATTTTAATGCTATATTTTAACACATACTTAGTATTTTTTTGCTCCAAGTTTAAGATCACTTTATGTCATTTTTATTTACTCAGCTATGAAAAATATTGTCAATAATAAGGCTTTTCAGATGATAAATACTTTGCCCAGTAATCTTATGCATGACAATAAAACAACAGTCACTTGCAAGTCATTGTCTAATAGATCAAACTATTATGTCTATTCATCTTCTCACTGCTTAGATGATGATAACCTCATCATATTGACTTGGGAGGCTCGTTCATCATTATTCAAATCTAGAGGCATATCCAGGAATTTAAAGTCCAGCATGAATTATATAGCAAACAATGCTACAAAACAAAAATAATTCAAAAAATGATTCTACATTATTAGAAAATTTTATTCATTAGGTGTAGTTATCTCTTGTAAGTCCATGTTTGATTAACCATGGATCTCTCAGTATGTTTATCATTGCAAGTTGTTGTTTGTTTCTTTTTCTGGCTAAAGTTCATTAACTATTTCCTATTATCAGACTTATTTCTAAGCAAATTTAAGTTAATGCATGTCAGCATTTGTTATTATTCTTTATTTTACAAAATAATTTTCCCAACCTTCAATATGAACCTGAAGATCCTTTTCTGATCCTGAGATATTTTGAATGGTGAAAGTGAATGTTTTATGAACAGATGAAGCAACAAGTGATGACCCCATCACCAAAGATTTTTCTGAATCCACAACTTTTATCTTGAAAGGACTGCCTGCAAGTTTAAAAAACAATCAATACAAAGTACAATTTTAGAATTTCTTAGATTTCACACTAATATTTGCTCTAAGTTTGAAATGTAGCATATAATTTGTTTAAATTATAAGCAAATATCATCACAAATATTCACCTACTTTGAATAATAAATTTCAAAAAATGACAGAGCTTGGTTGTACAAACTCTCAATTACTAAGTTTGAAAGAACCAAGGTAAAATGTCTTTGAAATTTGAAAAACAAACTGAGTAAGATAATACTGAAAATAATTTCACAAAAAGTATTATAGATATAAGAACTTAAAAGCCAAAAAGTTATCCACAAAGCCAGAAACTTTACCACTGGGAATGTAACAAAATAACTTTTAAAAATTTTTAGTGAACAAACTATTGAAAATATTTTTTTTTGCATCAACTAATTACTGCTACATTACAACAACAAAAATCATGTAAGGTATAAGCTGGAGTGAACATCTGGAAATAGAGTGTATTAATATTGACTATAGAAGCAGTTCTTTTCCAAATAAAAATAAGAGACTAACAATAACAGAAAGGCCTATTTTCATTAATAAAAGAGGATGTAAAATAACAACCTGGAACAGCTTCCTTGTTGAAAGATACATTAACAACATGCTCCACAGGATCTGTCGGTACAAAAGAAACAGCAAATTTGGCACTGTCCAAAGGATGAACTTGTGTCTGGATTTTTCGTCCCCTAGCAATCACTTTAATCTCAAGATTT